TTCTTGCTTGAACCAGGCCTTTTTCCTTCATTTTCTGAAGTTGGGTTTCAGACGACGATAACTGGGCTCGAGCAGTCTCTTTTTCTGCAGCAAAGCGGTCCATACCTTCTTTCCACCACAAGGATTCCATCCTTATCACATCGACCTCCTCACGCAGCCTCCCTATCATCTCGATTTTTTGCTGCAGCTGTGAGACCGAAATGTTAGCTATCGTTCCGGTATCGAACCCATAGGTTTTCAAAAGCATCATTACTTGCTCAGACAAACCATTCTGGTCTCGATAAGCCTTGTCCAGCTCGGTCCGGAGATCTTTTATTTCCTCCTCTCTCTGCCCTAAGGAAAGTTTAAGAGAGTTCCTCTCGTCGGTAGCGCGTTTCAGGTCGGCCGCATATCGATGCAGCTCATTCTGGGAACGAGAACATTGTTCTCGATGGACTGCCGTAGCCTACGAAGAAACAAGAAGCAAAGTTAACGAAAGACGAACATAAAGGCAATACCAACAAAAAGATTTTTAAAAGACTCACCTGGTTCAAAGCCTACCGCAAACCGTGAAAAAGATCTGATTCATCACCGGCAACGTCCTCGATACCAGTAAACAGGTCACGAAACGGATCCTCTTCATCGTGAGGCCTACCTAGATCGAGGGCCCCCAGAGTTTGAGCTTCCCGAATCACCCCTGCAGAAAAAGCGGGAAAGGTAGGCGAGTCCTCGATCGCTGCTGCCCCAAGTGACTCGCTCGGAGCATTCCCCTCGGCTCGGAGGGGTTCGAAGGGCTCTTCGATTGTAACCCCTGCCGGTTGATTCCGATGAGAAGCGTCTTCGACATCCGATAGTTCGGTGACTCTACCAGAACCTCTCTCCGGTATATTTTCGGTTCGAGACGGAGCCCCATAGGGCATCATCGATCCAGCCGGCATTGAAGCATCGGTGGCTCTCTTCGTCCGGACCGCCAGCGTGGGCTCATTATCCTTTTCTTCTTCTTCTTCTTCTTCTTCTTCTTTTTCATCCCTTAGGCGCAAAACGGATTCTACAGTCAAAGGAATAACATTCTTGTTTGGCTTACGAGCCGTCCTCTTCTTCGGTTTTGGAAATTCGGGCAACGAAGCTCTCTTCCTTTTATTTTCCTTCACCGGCTTTGGAACGAAGGTCGAGACATCCTCCTCATTAGACAGAGGTCTCAAGACCGCGTCCTTACCCAAACCTACATATGGGAAACCTTATAAAAAATATATCGAGAAATGCCTCGCCAGAGTCCGAGAAATGAGCTTACCGTGATTTTTGGCCTCTCATCGACCCTTAGACAAATCACGCCATGAGCGTTCGGCGTATGTGGAAGTCGAAACAAGAGCCCGTACCCAATTCTTGAGGTCGGGAACCGCTCCGGGCATCCAGGGAACCGCTACATCACGAAAAGGGGGGTGTCGATAAGAGAACAAATGAAAGAACAAAATAGAAGCAACAGCAAAATCACACTTACGTTTCAAATTCCACTCCTCGGGAAAGGGCATCTTTTCAGTCGGGATCAGGTCCGAAGTCCTTACTCGAACGAACCTGCTCATCCAACCCCGGTCCCTGTCCTCGTCAATACTCGAGAACAAAGCCTTGGTAGCCCGACGCTGGAGTTTTATTAACCCTCCCCGAAAAAGTCGGGGACGGTACAGCCGGATAAGATGATCGAGGGTGAACGACATCCCCTCGATTTTGCTCACGAAATATCGGATCAGAATAACGATTCACCACAAAGAAGGATGGACCTGGCCTAAGGTTACCTGATACTGTCGACAGAAGTCGATAACGACGGAATCGAGGGGACCCAAAGTGAAAGGGTAAGTATATACATTCAAAACCCCTTTCACGTGAGAAGTGATGTCTTCGTCAGGGGTAGGTATTATCACTTCTTTTTTTCCCCAATTGCAGTCCTTTAACAGATCGAGGTGCTTCTCAGTAATCGAACACATGTACCTCGATACCGGCTCACACCAGCCAGGGACCGATGAACCTTTATCAACTTTAAAATCTGAAGTAAGGACGCACGCCCCAGGGACATACTCCTCTGGCCGTGGTTCCGCCGGTGTCTTATCGGCGACACACTGTGAAGATGAAGCTTTCTCTTTCTGAGGAACGGTTTGCGATGTTTTTGCCATTTTTGAATTCAAAAATAAGGAGTAGAAAAAAATGATAGAGATTTGGTAGAATTGAGGGGTCCTTTCGGAAAGAAATCACAGCTTTTGTTTTTTGGTAAGCTGGAGAGTATAAATAAGAAATTGAGAAATTTTAGAAGATACAAGATGTAAAAATGGTAAAAGATAAAGGTGAGAGTTATTTATAGGTTCAAAGCGACGGCGGTTCATTATCAGCAGTGGTCGACCACTGCCTGACATGCATTAAATGCCTTGAAAGACTAAACCGACAGGACAACTATCATGTGCGTCATGGTCGAACCTGATGGAATCGACAAGATATAATCCGATCGAGCTGTTGAAAATCATATCGTTTCTCGCCATATTTCTTTCTGAGAAACGAAGGGACTATCTGTATACAGTCAAAATGGATTTCAGCCTTGGCATGTCCGGTACGGTTCGAAGGGTGGTGTATCGAAGTAAGATCCCGAAAGGGGGCACGAACTAACCTAGAGCCCGGGGAGGCCGGTCCGTGTTGAGATCGATATCATAATCAAACTCGAACAAGAATCGAACCATGGCGCGGGTAGATCTATCGTGCTGATAATCTAAAAACCAACCTACATCGACCTGGAATCCATTCGAGGGCCAAGATCACAAGTTCGAGCCGAAATCAAGCTCGAACCAAAATCTAAGATTCTAAGCAAGATCGAGTTGTAATCCCACTATAGGGAATCTTGGCAGAAATTATGGAAAAGCTGATTTATCATGGGTCTCCCACTGAATGTTTATTTTATTATGCTTGGAGCCAAACTCTTTCACTATAAAAGGGCTTGTTTATCATTCTTGTAGGGACATCTTTTCTGAGACTTACACTATCACAAATTGTATTATTACCTCTACAAGCAAGAGTGATCTTTCTAGTTTCTTAGATTGATTCTATTTTGCTAAATCCTAAAATTCACTGTTCATAATTGATTTGCCTAGATTACGTTTTCTCCAATCTATATTTATACTTTTATTTATCCTAGCATTCTGTATTAAGTTGTACCATATATCTTCGGAACTACGTATAAATTCAACTCTATCCATTTTTTCGGGTAAACAAATATATACTGTCCGAACCAAGTAACAAAAGGGGTCTTGATTCAACGGTAAAGGTTGTGGGTTCGCTGGAAAAGATGGGGGTTCGATTCCCGCTGAAAATAGTGTTTTATTTTAAAATTTAGAACCCACACACTTAAATCCCTAGCTCCGCCTCTGGTTCTCCATGGAAGAAAGAAACGACTAGTCTTGATCTCAGAGTAACCCTAGAAAGCAAGAGACCAGTCTAGTCAACCATAAGGCCCTTTGGTTCCAACACCAAACAAGTAATGAAGAGAAATACTTACAGCTGCCTTGGCAAGCAATTCCACTGGTGATAGTTCAGAGGCAGCCTTGAAAGCAGGTATTACACTACATATTTCTTTTCTATTATATATTATATATATTTATTTTTTTATTATATAGAAAAGCCCTAATGGTCGACCAAGGATAAAGTGGTAATTTCACATAGCTGGTCTTAAATTGAATTTTTATTGCTCTGATGAAATACGTGTCCTTCCTCACATTTTTCCTTCTAGAATCCTCTTTCACTATTTCTTTGTTAATCATCTACCATTTGCTATGAGTTCAAGCCGTAATTGTCTGTCATTAGTAGTAGACCTCTCTCACTAACCTTTTCTTATACTTCAAATCTTCTTTAAGGATTTTTACTTTTTATTATCTCTAATCAGACTTTAAACACAACTCTGTGTTTCACAATTTGGGATAAACTTGTCTACTGCTTTTTGCTGAATGAACTCTTGAAGCAGCAATCATCTACTAGGATGGAGTATTCTTGGAGCTTTCCAACTGCTGAATGAAAATATTGAGGTATACCCTTTCAATTATTATTTTGAAGGGTTTATATGTTATTTTTTTCTTTTTTTATTTATGATAATTAGTCAGTGGAAGGAAGATTCTCTGCTAATTTTGAGGTATAACCCCTTTGAAAAGTTGAATTTTTTAAGGTTTAAAACAGGGAAAATTTACTAATCGCTGATTTAAAATTTTGATGTATAACCTCCTTTTATATTTTTGTTTGCATTGTCGGACTACATTCCACATTGATTCCTCATCTATGCTCTTATAGTCCTGTTCTTTCGCTCCCTGATTTTTGTGTGTTTTCATTGTTTCTCTTTTGATTCTTCTTCCAACCTCCTCTTGAATGAGGTTCAAGGTTGATCCCATGATTAGAAATGGTAGCTTTTGTACTTTTGATTCCTTTATTTTAATATTTTAACTATTAAAATATTTTTAGGAATCCCATAATGTGCGAAGTGGGTTGTCAATGCATAGTCAGTGCAGTGTAAGGGATTTTAGGATCATAAAGGTAATAATCAGTGGTTAGTTTTTGATGAATCATTTTTATAGTTTAACTAGAAAAATTTGAGGAGACTGTGTGGAGGTTGTTTATCTTTACGCCATTTGCTTGCTTCAGTGGCTGCCATGTGAATAGCAAGAATAAGTCATTATGGATCAGTTACCTTACCTATCATGATTGTTGTTAAATTAAGAACTCTATACTGCATTTCAATTTGAGTACTTATTTTCAATTCACACCTCAGAATATTCATTCTTACCAAACAAAAATCATGGATTCAGCGGTACGGTGTCTACCTATTTGAACTTGCAGGATGTGCATTTCAACTATAATTTAGCTTATCAGCGGACATAACCAATGCTCACATAAGATATTAAAAAGTAGAATAAATAGTTTTATGCCTTGTTCTCTCTTTTCTTTTTATTGACATTTGTCTATGACAATATACTCAAGTCCTACTGGTTATAATTGAACAATCAGTTATGCAAAAGAATAATATGTTGCTACATTGGGTACTACAACAAGTTGTAATTCAAGTTCATGATTTTCGTTAAAAATACAGAATAATAACTTATGGAGTTAAGATTGTTATTCTTTTAATATAGCAAAAAGATCTAGGAAGAGATAATGTCGCGAATGATTACAATAGCACTTTGGTTTATATTGGATTGACTATTTACTTGTTATTTCTTTTTTAATTGATGTTCAAGTTGTAACTACATGTCTAATGATTTGCTATTCTCGATTACAGGAACCACATATGGCGGAGAAGAACACAATCAGCTCAAAATTTTCAAACATTTAGAGAAAAGGTAATTTCCTATTGCGCTCAACTGTTGAATACGAACTAAATACGAAATCCATATGACTTAGAGTCAACTCATTAATTGGTCTCCCTGTTCTTTTTTTTTTTTTGGGGCTAAAAACATCCACTTGCTATTTCAGTGATTGAGTTTAGAATAATGTATGAATACTTCTATCTCATCCATTTGAAATCATTAAAAGTAAACTAAAAGTTGGCATGTGTACTGCTATAACTTGAACTTAGTGGGATCACCTTCCGTGAGTAAAATACTTATCTAGCTCATCTTATGAATACCACTTCTCTCTTGATAGTTTTCCTTATATCATCTCAATTATTGAAGTTATCATCCTCTGAAATCTTCTCTACCTTACCTTATAAGTACAACATCTCTCTTTTGATAGTTCTCCTTCTCGATTACTGAAGTTATAATCTTTTCAAGTTGTATTTTGAGTCCTCTAGACATATTTTGTTGTTACTTACATTTACTTTTTTTCTGACACGCATAACATCTGGAATATTTGTAAATGCCTTTCCTTCTTTTACTTTTAGATTTATCATTATTTTTCTGTATATTCAGAGCTTATATTTTTGCTGTTTGTGGATTAGTGTACCATTTTGTCTTATTTGTTTCCTATGTTCTGTAGCCACATGTGCAGGTATAACTTATCTTTTTTCCTCCCTCCCTCCCTTTTTCCCTCCCTAGAAATACTAGCGCACATCCATAGTATTGTTCAGTTCTTCTGATGGGGTTTTATGTCTATATTTTGTGCCAGTTTTATGTCTTACGGAATAAGATCATATATACTTCTAAAAGTATTTACTTTCGATATCCTTGACACATAAAATTAATTAATGTAATGTATGATAGATACAAATGTTTATGTTCTACACTTCTGCTTGCTTATGAAATTATTTTTTAGCTTTGGTTAATAATCAGTCCATGTACAAGGTTTCGAGAAATTATAAGGAATACATCAATGCCATCTTGGAAGTGGTGTTGAGGTTGATCCACGAGCACATTCAGATGATATCCTAAAACTTATGATCGACCAAATCAAGATTTTTGACCAGCTTTTTTAAAGAAGCTTATACGACAATTCAGGACTTGTGTTCATGTAATCGAAACTAAGTGACTCAGCCTATAGGCTACGTGAAAGGTCAAGCTCCTAAGGTTTGGAGGAAAAGAATAGTAATGAAAGTCAGTAGGTTAGGTATTAGACATCTGATTCACCAATGTGCACCAACTGTTTCGACTTTGCAACTTAATAATTAAATGAGGATTCATTTATTTTGTTAAAAAACTAATGATGATAGCTAAGATGCAAGTTTTGTCGTGGTATTTGCGATGGATACTACTCTGCAGAATTTGAGAATAATGAACCTTGAATATTCCATATTTGGGTAATGAATATTGGGATTAGTCCTTTCATATTGGGTAATGAAATATTGGTTACTTCCTACGGCTTCTTTGACCATTCCAGTTGGATTCTAAATGAATTCTCCAAAGCATCATTAGAGAATGATAGTCGGTTTAAATCTACAATGTTGGGCCTGTGCCTTGCACGGGCAATTCTCATCTAGTATTTGCAAATAAATGAAATGATAAAGCGATGGTACATTAAAATCCATAAAGAGCACAAATGAAAAACTTACCTGTCAGAAATTTCAGCAACTGCTTCTGCTGCTTCTTTCCCAGCCGCTTTAGCAACATCAGCTGGCTGTGGAGCAGATAGATGCTCCAACTTCACACCAGATTCTCTTTCAATCCTAGAAATGTTGGACTACTTAGGATCATAAATCATTACAGCAACACCAGTATTTCCTGAATGGCATAACAAACAAATATAAGTAAGAATGTTCCTGAAGTTCAATGATCTAATGAAAGCAATTCCAACATCAGCAGTCACCTGCCCGTCCTGTCCTTCCAGATCGATGAATATACGCTTCGACATCGCGTGGAAGCTCACACTGACCATACATGTTAAATTCAGCATTCAAATACAAATAAAGTCTGAGCAACAAAGTCGAATATGAATTTAGTCATATCAAACCTGAATAATTAATTGAACGTCGTCAATATCCAATCCACGGGCTGCTACATTTGTGGCCACTAATGTCAGGAATTTTCCTGATCGGAATCCAGAAAGTGTAACCTGGAACAGCATACAACAATCAGGGAAAGAGTTTTTAGTTGACAATTGAAGGGATGTACCCCATACCATAAATATAAAATTTGTTGAAGGAGTCGAGGAAAGTGACTAACAGTCAACTTATGCAAAGTCCTGTTTGGTTTTTATATTTCCTATACATCAACAACAGAAGGTGATTTCTGGAGAAACTCTCATCCTCTTCAAGTGCAAAGTCATCAAAAGGAGAGCGAGAAGAATGGCGAAAGAGAGCACATGTTGTATCTCTCCATGCAAAGCACGTGCTCCCGCCAATAAGCCGGCTAGCTCCGAAGCATAACCCCTTGTGACGCTGACACAGACTATATTGTTGGATTTCTTGTTATATTAATAGTATTTTCTTTTGCTCTATTATGAACCTTATTTGATGTCATCGAATCTCTTTCATTGTTATCCCCAGTCACTTGCGTGTAACACGACTCCACAAAGCACAAATACAAGGCATTGGATGTGATTATCTTTTTTACTCCATATGATACGGCAACCTCATGCACAATAGACAAGTAGGATATTTAAGTCAAATTAATATGACAAGAATAAAAAAAGGATTGAAACGGGAGATTAAGAACCAAGAAATGAAATTTAGACGACAGACAAACACTTGTAAGTAAATTACAAGACCTGCATTCATGGTTTCACAAAAAGTGGAGAAGTGGCAGCACTGAAGCTGAACACCCTTTATGGGTAGACATAAGGTTGCTTAAGAACCTGGTGTTAGGCCAACAACACTTCCATCACCATCCCTACCATTCAAATTAGGCTCAAGAAATCAACAGTAAGCTAATTCTGGTATCGTTAGCCTTCCTAGAATTAAAGCAGTCACTATGGATAATTCTGGTATCATTAGACTTCCATACACAAGTCCCTTTTTTGCTTTCTGGTGATTATGGCTGTAAGCCAGACCATATTAGATTGCTAAATCCATGTGGTCATTTAGACGTCATAAATTCAGTTCTTCTTCCACAGCTGAATAGGACTTCACCATTAGCAAACATATACTTGGGTATGATTGGTATAATTGAAGGAATCCTGGCATCTGCCATGGTAAATAATTTAATCCAAGATTCTTTTACGCCGTAGTCCTTCATTACCCATAAATCAAAAAAAGTAGTTTCATTGCAGTAAACACAAATTATAGAGAGCATTCCTCCCAAAACTGCTAAGCCATGGTTGATCATGTCAGACGTCAATCACATTCTGCTTAAAATGTGGCTCATGTTGGTTCTTCAACACACTCACTCAGAGATATGCTAGCATCTGACTTAATGTTCAGAAAGATTGAACACTTTGGTCATCCATATACATGAATTTCCCATGCACCATACTCCAAACAAAGAGATACAGCTGAATTAAAATATGCGATTTGGTCCATAATCAGACTGACAGACTTGTAATAGATGCAATTGATTAGCTAATTTCAAAGATTATTGGACCATCAATTACCAATTATCTACGCCTCAAGTTTTCGAGGACTACCCCTTAAAAATCTCCCTTTTCTTGATGGATAAAATTGAAGTGTGAAAATGGTTCCAACATTTTGGAGTTGGAACTGTATTTTTCCAATCCGAACTCAAGATTGTTTTTCTGTTTTATATCCTAGTTCTTTTACAAGGTGTAGATTAGTTCTCACAATGTAAACCAATAAAAATCACATTTCAAGACAAAGAATACCTTTTGTTTTCTTTTTGGGGCATGAAAGACTTAGAAGTTAAAGCCGGCTGTAAGATCCTTAGCCAATTCGGTCTGGTGCCAAAAACGTTTTCTGATCTGGTGATACCTGGTGTTGACTGTAAAACCAGAGAAGCAATATCAATGCAGAGGTCATCAAACCTCAACGGGATGGACCATAAGTGTGGGATAGCCAAAGTGCGACTGTTAATGTCTTCGGATGGAATACCATGCTATGAGCACATATTGTTGAAAAACCAGTAAGTATTTTCACATATTAATAAAATTCTCTCTCCATCATTCCAGAGAAGGGCTCATATTAACTCTCCTTCCCATCTCATCACTCAAACTGGTTAATACAGACTTTATTTCTGTCATCAAAACTTGAGGAGATCCTCTTACAGAAAATTCGTGGACAACTCCATCAACTTCAATCATGCTGCATCCAGGAACTGTCTTCTCAATCCCTTTCTCCTTCATAAGGGCTCTAATCTCCTTAACATGGTCAAACCTACCAGCTTTGGCATATATATCGCAAAGATTAACATAAAAAGCATGGTTCAGAGGCTCCAAAGCAATCAAATACCGAGAAACCTTTTCTCCTAACTGAAAATTTCGGTGCTTTTGGCACCCACCAAGTAGTGCACCCCAAACGAAAACATCTGGCTCCATTGGCATACTTCTGATTAGCCCTTCTGCCTCATCAAAGAGACCAGCTCGACCAAGAATGTCAACCATGCAAGCATAGTGTTGAACTTGTGTCTCTATGTGATAAGCACGCCTCATCACATCAAAACACCTTCGGCCTATCTCTATAAGGCCAGAATGTGCACAAGCAGACAACAAAGCAGTAAAAGTCACAGCATTAGGCCTCACTCCAGCCGCTTCCATGTCCAAGAACAGCTCAAATGCTTCTCTACCATTCCCATTAAGTGCAAAAGCAGAAACCATAGCTGTACATGCCAAAACATCCTTATTTTTCATTGCCTTAAAAACATCAAGTGCTCGAGAAACACTCCCACATTTGCCATACATGTCTACTAATGCGGTGGAAATTACCATATCACACTCCACTCCACTCCTGTTCAAGTAATCATGTACCCACTTACCTTGATCAACTGCTCCAAGAGAAGCACAAGCTGAGATTACACTAGCAATTGTCATTTTATCTGGACTAACCATATCATCACCTGAAATTTGCATTTCATAGAAGAATTCTAAAGCTTCTTTTGGCCTACCTCCTTGTACAAACCCTGTGATAATTGAATTCCAAGTAATAATATTCCTCTTCTTCATTCTCCTAAACAACTCTAAGGCCATATCCAACTCTCCGTTTCTCAGACACCCAATTACCATAGAATTCCACGAAACAATATCCCGATTTGACATTTCATCAAATACCTTCCTTGCAATCCCCACTGACCCGCATTGTGAATACAAACTTATCAAAGAATTCTGCACAAAAACATCACTATGAAACCCAAACTTAACAACATGGGCATGAACACTTGTTCCTACAAATTCATTAACTCTGTTGACGCAATGTTTTAACACGAAGGGTAATGTAATACAGTCAGGTGTAATACCATCATTCAGCATTCGTTTGTACAAAATTAAGGGCTGAAATGAAGTGGGGTCATGGATTCTTGAAGCGTAAGCTCTGATCATGGAGTTGTAAATGAAGAGAGTTTTGCGAGGGACGAATCTGAATACGGCGTTGGCATAGATGAGAGACCCTGATTGAGAAAATGCGCAGAAGAAAATAAGACGAGAGATTAGGAAGCAACGGTCAGTGGTAAAGAGCTTAGGAGATGTAGTGATGTGGGCATGTATCTGCTTCAGCTTTCTCATGCTCCTGCAATTCTCAAGCAGGCATGTCAGTTTATTCTTCAAATTTAACCGTTGGAGCTCCATCATTATTTTCGTAGCTCCAACTTAATCTGCTTCTGTTGACATATTCTTTGTTGCTGGAGTATGTTTTATAAGTATGCTTCAACATTGCAGTTTCACGATTAGAATTTCAATGGGAGAATAATAATTAGATTTGAGAACTGTACTTGTTTCATTTCTGCCCACAGTGGGTTGCTTACTGTGTTTCACTGCTTTCATTAGAACCAAACTTTATAGCCGGTTTGGCCAAACAAAAATAAGAACTGTTTTTCTTAGTGTTTGGCAAACCTTTCAAAAACTGTTCATATTTTTTTCAAAAATATTTTTGGAGAGAATCTATGTTTTTCTATTTCTTCAAAACTGTTTCAAAAGCACTTCTTTTTTTCTAAAAATTTGACCAAACACTTGACTTTGAAAAAAAAAAAAATTGGATTTGGATAAAATGGGCCAAACAGGCTATTACTCGGTTACAAGATGACGACTAGCCTTTCAAATTAAAGAGTGATGGAATATTATGGTTATCGTTTTTCCAGAAGCAAAAACAAAGCGCTCATTCCAATCGAAAATACTGAAGCATTGCTAAAGTTCGTTAAATACCCAGGTGATCTGACATCTCCTGCCAAATTCTGGAAGAAAAATAAAAAAGCTAGGAGAAGATAGAAAATTGCCTTATACATATTGCTACAGGAAAGCCAATCAGATGAAAACATTGGTAGCTGATAAACAACAAACTTTACTTGAAATGACGGGAAGTTGCATTACAAGTTGCATTCCTCAGATTTCTTAGAAACTTGACGGCACAGGACTTGAAAGAGATACCCTGTTCTCGAGTTCATAAAGCTTATTTGAAGTGTATGTCTTCACAAAACTGTAAGTTTTTTCATCTTGAAAAGAAGATGCCATTCTCTTTGGCTTAAAGACTTGGCAGTTGCTTCCGATGACTGATCGTTTTGCCAAAACAGAAAAGAAGGGCTTACCAACCTACAGCTCCGTAACTGGGAGCTATGTGATGTCTTTTTATTCTTCAAAAAATACACTTCTCCACTAAATAACACATTGGGAATAGCATTTGAGACGAATCAACTTGTGCAGCCACGAAAGGAAATTGGAGTTGTCCAAAAACCACAATTTTTGTAAAAGACAAAAATCAACCTTCGGTTACTCACATGGCGTATGCACTTGTATCCTCTATAGGAAACCCTCAATCCCCTTTCCCGCCTGCACTTCCCTGTATATCGAAAGGGCTTCATCCATTACTTTAGCCTGAGCCAACAATTGTGCTCTCTTCTTTCCAGAAGGATGAGTTGATAGATAATCTCTCAAGGCTGATTCACCAGAAATCTTGCCCAGCTTCTCATAGACTGACGGAGCTATTCGAGGGTTATATCCAGCAGAAGCCATCAACAACAGCCCTATGTAATCTGCTTCCATCTCCATCCTGGTAACACATAAAATGCATGCATGAGATGTCTACGCAACAGGAATTACACCTGGCAAATGTTCATCCTATCTAGCACCATGAGCTTATTTCTTGCATTATATACGCATGCTCGCTAAGAAGACGCGTGAAGAGCGCACAGATAAAACATTTGAGATATTAACAGTGAGCCTCAACAGAATTTAACAAAAACCCGTATAACAAGTAGGTGATGCCAATAAGATTTGAAGCCAAGAGTTTCGGTTCCAAACTCTCAATGATCAGTGATTAGTGATATCACCAACCTCTTCAACCGGAACAAGCTCATCGAGCAATAAACTACAGATTTTAACCAACAAAACCAGAACAAGAATAAACCTAAATATACTTACTGTAGCATATCTCATTAAATATGAACTCCAGGATCACAGTAAAACTATGGATGCATAGTGATTACAAACAGATAAATAGAAGAAAAAACTTACAAGACCACCATTAAATACATTTAATAAAATGCACCAGACAACAGGCACAAATTAAAACATTTGAGCATCTGGAATCAGTGACTTCATCCCCGTTTTTATTCAATTTTTTGTGTGGGACCTGTGGGAGGGAAAGGTGGATTACACGACAGATATTGCTGCTCCCATTCATTTTGAATGTTGAGGTTTCTAATCTCTTTGGAGACAGAAGCTTGTCACCTATTATCCAATCATTTTTAACATAGTTTCTTTTGCTACTCACAACGTCACCTATTTCTTGTTTCAATTTTGGATAGAGCACCCTGATTTTAAGATTCAAATATCCACCTACAATTGGAATTCAGTGGCCAATTTTTTGGACACCGTGCAATTCTGAGAAGAGGAAACAGGGCGGGCTAATTCAAATAAGAAAAACCAGGACTCAATTTAAGCCAATACTTCTTGGGTAAAATTTGGAGGGCTGCTAGGAGTTCGTGTCTTCTGGTTGAAGACTCTTTAGATTTCTGGTAGTTTGGAACTTTGGATTGCCTTTTTATGAATAAGAAAAGGAATATTTGTCAAAACAGAAATTGCCAAATTTGCTTTGCAAAGAACTGGTTGCAATCTATCCTCGCAGTTAAGAACACTGCTTCATTGTCTTTTATTCCAAACAATCAACTTTAGTTTGTACCCTCATTTTTTCCGGTTAATATTGAGAAGCTTTCGGATAATAAATATCTATATTGTAATTTGACTTAAATTCACATTTTTGTACTGTCAAAATCAGAGGAATTGACGGAATATGTCTTATGGCTTTTGTTTTTCATTGTTACTAATGATTTTTACAACATTCTTTAAGTTTACAGCATCTTAAGGAAAACTATCAAACAGCATATAACCAAACATTTATATACAGCCCCCCGTATCTTGATTTTCATATCGTACTTGTGTCTTGCATGTGCTAGATAGCTGACGCTCATTAAATATCCTTTTTTGTTCTTGCTATGTTTCAGGCAAACTCGCTCGTTAATGAAATTGACGAACTTATATCACTGAAACAAAACAGTCTTTCTAACTTCACAAGGTAGGGGTAAGGTCTGCGTATATACTACCCTCCCCAGACCCCACTTGTGGGGATACATTGGGTATGTTGTTGTTGTTGTTATATCACTGATCCGGAAAAAGAGAGATGAATCCAGGTTGAATAAAAGAATGAAATGGGGAAAAGAGAGAAGAAGCGAAAAGCATCTCTAGAAAGGAGGAACGAACAACATCAGAAGATGAATGCAATGTGCACTCAATTGCACCCCGCCAGCCATCATCATGTTAACATGGATAAAATGGGAACATGGTCTTTTCCAGTATCTTGAGATGTCTAAATCAATAAAACCCTCACATTAAGCACTCAAGGGAAGATCCCCTCTTTCACTCCTACCATTCAATGCAGAAAGCATGTAGATGAGCATCCTTACAAGCCCTGAAAACCAAGTCGTCTACATTACCAACTTGCTCTACTTTTTTCTAATACCTTCCGAAACAAAAACCTTATAAATGCTTCCCACGCCGAGCCAGAGTTAGGTTATCAAGTTCCCATACACCCTGTTCTGCTGGTCCAAAGGGGCAGAAACAAGTCTCGTGTCTCTTTCTTTTTCTTTGGTTGCTGTACAAGCTTTATTCACTTTGTATAGAAGCAACTACACTTTTGAATAAAACATTGAATTCCTAACTACCAACGATTCAAATGTCTCCTATTCTGTTGTACTATTATATATGTGTCTCACATGAGGGGACAGCCGCTTAGAAGGGCCCACATGTGTGCAGTGGGAACCATTTGAGCGAAATATAATGTAATTTAACACAAATACCAGAATGACATAATCTATGATGCAAGCATTTCAGGAGAGTAGTTCCTGCTTCTTGGAAACGTATTGAACGTGTATGTGACGTGACATTTCTATGACTATTTATAAACTTTAATGTAATTGACTAACCGAGAGAATCGTGCGATAATACACAACAATGTTAACTAAATCCTAAAAGAGAAAGATATCATATAAAACACACAAGCAAGAGAAACTAAAAATCCAGACAATAAAAGGCAATATACATACCTGCGTGAGAATGGAAGCCTTAGGAACAGGGCTGACATGGTGTTAACAACATCAGGCATAACAAACTGATAAAGAATCATTTGAATGATCGCAAACCACAAGTTTTTCGTAATTCCCTCAGCAGCATGGCGAGCCACTGCATGCCCAACCTATCAAGCAGATAAGCAAAGGTGTGAATAAGACCATACTAAAACAAAAGGCAGTGATATAACTGTATACAATGCACCAAGTGATCAACAAAATACACCTCATGCCCAATTATGGTTGCAATTTCAGCATCCGTCCTAAAATGTTCGAGCAACCCTGTGAAGACTACAATCTTGCCACCAGGCAAACAGAATGCATTAACAACAGGCTCATTTACAACCAAAACCTCCCACTTCAATCCCTCCAAATGCCCAGTAGCGGAATCTGACCCCTTTTCCTGTCCCTTCTTCCTACTTTTCTGAACCCAACTGTCATCAAGAATCTCATCCTCTTTACTCCACTTCGCCTCGGGGTTACTATCACTCAATGCCATTAAAGTTTCATGCTGCCCACTAGTAGTCCCATGAGATGCCATGTCACCTGAAGCATAGTGAAGATCAGTCCATACTTGTTCTTTTCTCAATCCTCTTTGTAAAGCTTCAATTATATCTGTAGCTATAAGTCTCACCCTAACACTTTCCGGATGTATAGCTGGCAATATTTTCCCTTTGAATGTCCCTTTCATCTGTTGAAACTGAGTGTCACCCAGCCTTTTCTCAAGATCTTTAGACAAAAGCACAAAATGGGTTCTCTTGGTATAAGGTATAGTCTCCAAATTACCCATGTAAACAGTTATCACTAATCCGGAACCAACCAAGACAACAGTAAGAACCGTTCTTGGATTCTGAAACCATCTCTGTGGACCTCTTGGACGAAAGTGATGAACTTGGTGTCTATCAACATAGTAATATCTTCTACCCCCACCCAAAAAAGGGCCAGTAGTATACTTATTTTGCTTGATGCCATATTGAAAACACGAGTTTCTCAAAATCTTTGAGGACGAGGTGGAAAACCCAGATGCAGAATTGAATTTGTTGGGTCTTGGAATGGTTTCTTGAATGGAATTTTTGAGTGAAAACTTAGATGCGAAATGGCGAAACGCGTCAAGACCGAATTTTGATCTTCTGTACCATCCCATGATTGCTGCGAGGACCTCAAAATCAAAGAAGAAGGATTAGCAGTAAGAACAAAAATCATTCAGACGTCAATTTCTTGGAGCAGAAGTTAAATCTGAAATTAAACCTAAATATAAGGGCCAAAAGAGGTAAAGAGAGAGAAAATGGATGGAAGAAATATAGAAAAGGGGAATCAGAGTGATTAGATGAATGGAGGAGGGTCTGGACGTGTCTGGAAATTTGCAAAAGCGCAAGCAATGAAGTGGACAGCGGTGGAACCCCAGAAGTAATTCTTCTTCTATCTTATTTTCTTCTGGATCAAGTACTCCTGCATCCACTTTTACTTGTTAATGATTTTAAAAATAAATTTTCAATTTTATATGTCCATTTTTGTACGAGCCCGTTTGGATTACATGATTTGAACTAACTGATAAGCATTAGGTGTTGAAAAGTATTTTTAAGTGTTGAAAATTAATTTAATAAATAAGCAGTTACGTGTTTGGATACCACTACTGAAATTGATAATAAACGATTGCATTATTTGATAAAAAAGTGTCGATAAGCTCTTTTTCCTGTTAAAATGACTTAAATAACCTTAGAACTGTTTATACTTATAAGCGCATAATTTTTTTAAAATTTTAGATTCTAGATCGATTCAAATACAAAATATTCTATTTATCATTTTATTTTAAATACAACTGTAATTAAATAAGATAATTTTTATGATAAATATAATTTATTTTATGATAAGCATATAATCATAAGTTATAATAATTAATAAATTTACAAAAGTTTTTCAGTAAAAAAATAAACCTAAATAGGATAATATATTTGAAGAGAAACATTGTCTTCATCACCACAACACTTTGAAACCAATACACCAAAAATTTGATATGTCTTCGTTTATTACATACAGTTCAAAGATTAATACAAAATCACATAGATACAAATATACAAAGGAATAAAAAATTTACTTATCTCAAATAGTCAATGAGAATTGCAGACTTGAAGAGACGCGGGATTTAGGTTGAAAAAATACGTGAGGCAATAATATCGATGTAGGAGTTTTGGTTTGAAAAAGAATATTTTAGAGATAAAATAGTAAAAATCTTGGTCAAACTTAAAGTGCTTATAAGCTAAAAATTCATAAGCTAGGGGTGACCAGCTTATGGCTTTTTGCTTATTTTTGGCTTATAAGCGCTTTTAACTTTACCAAACGCGTAGATAAGCCGAAAAGTGTTTATAACCTAATTTGACCAGCTTATAAGCTTCGCCAAACACCTTCTATATCCAGATATTTTTTCTGTTTTACCTTTTGTATTAGTTACTCATTCCAAATTATTTTTCAAATTTATTCAGACTATACACTAATTAATATTGGTATCATGATAAATTATATATTTTATTTATTATTTCTTAAAGGGTGTGCAAAGTCAATAATGGAGAAGTAAAAATGAATCTACTACTTACAGTTTGTTTGCATGGTTGTTACCCATTGTATTGTGTTATATTGTATTGTTATTCAAAATAATATTTGTTTTGATTGTTTATTTAATATTAGTTATATTGTATTATTAAATATGTTATTCTGAAATAATAAAAAGATCCATTTTATGAAACAACGGATTTGATGTTGTAGAATTATTTCTTTTTTTTAATTATGACTTTACTTATTACTCCATAATTATATTTTACCCTTTACTTTTTTATTTTAACTCCAAATCTCTAACCTATTGACTTACTTTTTCTTTGTCCATCTTCGGGAATGCTGGCCTTTTCATCTAAATCTCTGTTCGTTTCTTTGTCTCTTTTCATTGTTCATTTCTTTTCTTTTCTTTTTTGCTAATGATAGTTAACCTTTTTTTTCAGGTTTTTACTCTTGTTTTCAAGCTACATAATTGGCGATAAATTAGTAAAAAGAGGTTTTTTGAAATTATTTTTATGTGTAATTCTTGATAAATTAATATTTAATTGAGTGCATTTTAGTAATATGATACTATCAAACTAAACAACAAAGTGTTATTTATAAAAGATCCAATCTATCCAAATATTATATTTAGAAATAATACGATACAATACGATATTGTATAATATAATATATTATAAAACAATGAGTAACAATGATCTAAACATGACGTTTTAGTAGTTGTCAGACTCTGGAACTACTGTTGTAATTACCAACACCCAAACAAATATAGTAAATTATAAAGAAAAACTACTAAAAATAGGATGGCTTTTTCAACTTCTATTTTATTTTATTAACTTTAATTTCAGATATATTTTTTTTTGGAAAAAATAAAAAATAGACAGATTTACAACTGGTAATTGAAAAATAGCCACAGTTTCAAAAGTAATCGAAATTTAGCCACCTTTTCATATAAAGATAAAATCTGAACAAAAACACCCTAAAAATCCGAAAATATTCTAGCATAATATGCTGAAATTTAATTTTTTTACATATGAGCTTCCAGCATAATGTGCTGAGATTTCATAATATGTTGGAGTTCCAATATAATATGCGGGAAGTTTACATGCAAAAGCTCCATAATCTGTGTGCTAGAGTTCCAACATAATATGTTGGAAGTTTATAAATAGAGGCTCTATAATCCCGCATATTATACTTGAACTTTTCGTGTTTTAACAAAACAGTGACTATTTTTCAATGATTTTGTAAACCCTGACTATATTTCAATTACCAATTCAAAAACTGACTAGTCGATACTATTTTAACTTCTTTCTTTTTTCATTTCTAACTTTAGTGTTCAGTTCTTTAAAAGCACAAGCCTCGTAATTAAATGCTTACATTTTGAAGTGCTACATCTTTTCTTTTTCTGACAAAAAGAGTAGTAAATAAGTTAATGGTAAAGGGAAACGAACTTGCTAGTATTGCTTATTGCATGCAACAACAACATACTCATTATTATCCCACGTCGTGAGATTTGGAGAGAATAGTGTGTACGCAAACCTTACTCCTATCTTGTAAGGATAGAGGTGTTGTTTTCAATATACCCTCGTCTCAAGAAAGTATAAGCATCCCATTAATAAAAATATAGACAAGAAGGGACAGTACCAAAAAGTCATATAAAATCAGAATAAAAACAACATAGTAAGGTGATCAACAATGAAAGAAAATAACGGCTAGTCATAAAAAACTATTATCAACAGAAAGCGAGATTGCGTGTCAATACTACTGTTATGAACACTCTAAACTACCGACTCTACTACCCTAATCCCCGACCTCCATACATTCCTATCAAGGGTCATGTCCTCAGTCAGCTGAAGTTGCGATATGTCTTGCCTAATCACATCTCCCCACCTCTTATTTGGCCTAATTCTACCTCTTTGCAGGCCCTCCAATGTCAATCTTTCCCACCTCCTCACCGTGGTGTCTGTGCTCCTCATCCTCACATGACCAAACCACCTAAGTCGCGCTTCCCGCATCTTGTCCTCAATAGGGCCACACCCACCTGGTCGCGAATAGCCTCATTTCTGATCCTATCTAACCTAGTGTGCCCGCACATCCATCTCAATATCTTCATCTCTCCTACCTTCATCTTCTGAACATGAGCTATTAGTATTGCTTATTGCATGCCATACCGAATCTCATTCTCTGCTACTTGAACCTACCCAAACAAAAAAATGCATGATCATTGATCACCAGTCCACTTCTTTTCAGTCAAAAAAATGAATTACATTTGCATTGATTGCATTTTGCTTGATAACAGTAACAAGAAACGCGATCTCTAAACTCCCGTGCTATGGAAAGAAGTATTACATTTATGATATCGTTTGACTAGGATTCAGCAAAGCTGTTAAGTTAAAAATCGAAGCTGAAAGAAAATTGCCTCCTATGAAGAGGCCAAGCAAAAAATAAATAAGAATTGAGTACAATTGAACTGTTATAAAATATAATTCAAAGTAACAATATGGAACAAGAAAAAATAAGCTAAGAGATATATGGAGAAAGAAATAAGAGATTCTTATTTCTTCTTCAATTGTGTGTATTTTCCTATCTATTACAAGGCCTTTATATAAGCATGAAAAGTGAAAAAAATATGTCATTGAATATGTCATTAAACATAGAAAATATGTCATTAAATATGTCATTAAGCATTTGAGATGAAGATCATGGAGGAAGAGTAGACATCCACCATAATTTGATATTTCTTATAACACTCCCCCTTGGATGTCCATAGATAATGTGTCTCGTTAAAACCTTATTAGAAAAAAGAGTACATATGTTTAGGAATACGCTTTTTTGTTGCCTCATTAAAAACCTTGCAAGAAAAACCCACTGGGACAAAATCTTGTAAGGGAAAAGGAGTACACTGCATATTAACTTCCCCTGATGAGAGCATCAATTTACATCATTGAGCCTTCGCATCCCAATCTTGTACACTAGTTTCTTGAAGATTGATATCGGTAGAGATTTGGTGAACAAATCAGCCATATTATCACTTGAACGGATCTGTTGCACACTGATATCACCATTCTTTTGAAGATCATGTGTGAAAAATAACTTTGGTGAAATGTGTTTTGTTCTATCTCCTTTTATGAATCCTCCCTTCAATTGAGCTATGGATGCTGCATTGTCTTCATACAAAATTGTGGGTAGTTTGTCACACTTCAAACCATATTTGTCTTGAATTAGGTGTATTACAGACCTCAACCATACACATTCTCGACTTGCTTCATGAATAGCAATTATCTCAGCATGATTAGATGAAGTAGCCACGATTGATTGCTTGGTCGATCGCCAAGATATTGCAGTGCCTCCATATGTAAACACATAGTCAGTTTGAGATTGAGCCTTGTATAGGTCAAATAAATACCCAGCATCGGCACAACCAACAAGATCGGGACTGCAATCATTGCCATAAAATAAGCCCATATCGGTAGTCCCTTTTAGATACCGCAATATGTGTTTGATTCCATTCCAATGTCTCCTTGTAGGAGCAGAGCTATATCTTGCTAAGACATTAATTGAAAAAGTTATGTCAGGCCTTGTAGTATTAGAAAGATACATTAGTGCACCAATTGCACTAAGATATGGTACTTCAGGACCAAGAAGCTCTTCATTCTTTTCTTGAGGTCGGAACGGGTCCTTATTCACATCAAGTGATCGAACAACCATCGGAGTACTTAATGGATGTGCTCCATCCATGTAAAACCGTTTCAATACCTTTTCTACGTAGGCAGATTGATGAACAAAAATCTCGTTTGCCAAATGCTCACTTTGCAAACCGAGACATAATTTTGTCTTTCCGAGATCTTTTATCTCGAATTCCTTCTTTAAATAATCAATTACCTTTTGGAGTTCTGTAGGAGTTCCAATAAGGTTTATGTCATCAACATATACGGCTAGTACAACAAATTTCGATGTTGTTTTCTTTATAAAAATACATGGACAAATAGAATTATTTATATAACCTTCCTTTAATAAATATTCAATAAGGCGGTTATACCACATTCTTCCTGATTGCTTTAGACCATACAAAGATCTTTGCAATTTGATTGAAAATATTTTCCTGGACTTTGAATTATGTACGTCAGGCATTTAAATCCCTCGAAAATTTTTATGTATATCTCATTATCAAGTGAGCTGTATAGGTAGGCTGCAAGATTTTTATGGACAACAAGACTAATGAGATAACGGAACGTTATAGCATCCATAACAGGAGAATACGTCTCTTCATAATCGACACCAGGCCTTTGTGAAAATCCTTATGCAACAAGGCGTGCCTTATATCCTTGTACCTTATTTTTCTCACTTCTTTTACGTACAAAGACCCATTTATAGCCAACAGGTTTAACACCATTAGGTGTTTGGACTATAGATCCAAAAACTTCACGTTTCGCAAGTGAATCCAACTTAGATTGGATTGCTTCTTGCCACTTTGGCCAATCACGTCTTTGTCGACATTCTCTAACAGATTGAGGTTCAAGATCTTGATTATCTTGCATAATGCTATATGCAACATTGTATGCAAAGACATAATCCATCACTATATTCAATCGATTCAAATTTGTCTCAATATCGATTGGATTTATTGATAGTTCCTTATTTTCTTAAGTCTCAGGCTCATCGATATCCTCATGAATTTCAGGATTGGTTAAATCATGGGTTTCTTTATGAGACTCTTTCGTAGTGTCATCTTAATCATTTGTTTTTCTTTTTCTAGGATTTCGATCCTTAGAACCCAATGGCCTGCCACGCTTTAGGCGTGCTTTTGACTCATTAGCTATGACACTAGAAGATTTTCCAACAGGGATATCAATACGGATTGGAACATTATCTGCAGGGATATGTGATTTTGTTATCCTTTTCAGATTCGTAAATGCATCTGGCATTTGATTTGCTATTTTCTATAAATGGATAATCTTTTGCATCTCTTTTTCACAAATAGAGGCACGTGGATCAAGATGATATAATGATGGATTTTTTCACAAAATTTTCTGTTTGATTTCACCAATTTCTCCCCCTAATTTTGGGAAAAATGCCTCATCGAATCGACAATCTGCAAATTGAGCAGTGAACAAATCTCCCGTTAATCTTTCGAGGTAATGAATAATGGAGGGCGATTTAAACCCAACATATATTCCTAACCTTCTTTGGGGACCCATCTTAGTGCGATATGGCGGTGCTACAAGCACATATACAGCGCATCCAAAAATTCTTAGATAGGATATATTAGGTTCATGACCCAAAACTATTTGCAACTGGGAATATTTATGATAATTTATCGGTCTGAGACGAATTAACATTGCTGCATGCAAAATGGCATGACCCCAAACAGAAGTGGGTAATTTCGTTTTCATGAGTAACGGTGTTCCTATCAATTGCAGACGTGTAATCAAAGACTCTGCAAGGCCATTTTGAGTGTGAACATGAGCTACAGGATGTTCCACTTTTATCCCAATTAATAAGCAATAATTATTAAATGGATGAAAATTCAGTAGCATTATCAAGTCGAATAGATTTAATTGGATTATCGGGAAATTGTGCCCGTAATCAAATTATTTGTGCCATTAATTTTGCAAACATCAGGTTGCGAGATGACAATAGGCACACATGGGACCATCTAGAAGATGCATCTATTAATACAATAAAATATCTAAACTACCCACTAGGTAGGGGAATAGGTCCATAAATATTCCCTTATATACATTCCAAAAACGCAGGGGACTCAATCCTAACCTTTGTTGGTGATGGTCTAATAATCAACTTGCATTGATAATAAGAAGTGCAAGAAAACTCATTATTTAAAAGAATCTTTAAATTCTTTAATGGATGCCCATTTGAGTTCTCTATAATTCGTCTCATTATAATTGATCCAGGATGTCCCAATCGATCATGCCAAAGTACAAAAGTATTGAAATTAGAAACCTTTTGGTTTACGATAGAATGTGCCTCAATTGCACTAATTCTTGTCCAATACAGGCCACAAGATAAAGATGGGAACTTCTCAATAACTCTTTTATGGCCAGAGATATTCTTGGTAACGATGAGATATTCGAGATTATTCTCATCTATTGTCTCAATATGAAATTCATTTCGATGGATATCTTTAAAACTCAACAAGTTCCTCTTGGATTTGGAGGAGAACATTGCATTCTCTATGATAAGTATTGTTCCCTTAGGCAGAGTTATATTAGCTCTTCCAGAGTCTTTAATTAGATTACTACTACCAGAAATTATAGTAATATTTGCCTTACATATACTTAAATGAGAGAAATATTTCTTCTCTTTGAATAATGTATGTGTTGTACATGAATCAATTAAGCAAATATTTTTACAATTGAACTTTGATCCAAGTTTGCTTTGAAAGATATCCGTATTTGCTTTCCATGGTTTGACATACAAAAGAAGTATATGAATAAATATTAGTATTTTTAGAGAAAAGGAAAAGAAATAAAGTTAAACCAATAATTCAATAGTGACCTTTTAATGCATTTTCTAGCAAATTCTAATTATTATACAAATAATTACGCAGCAAAAATAATACAATTATAAGTACATGAAAAAAAAATTAAACAAAAGTTGTTCTATGGTGCTTGTAAACCACTTCTTAAAGAGAATTAAAGAAACGTAAAGAAAAATCAAAAGGAATTAAAAGATCAGTGAGACTAGGACACTAATTACTTAGATAATCTCTTTGTTTGTGAAATTTATGAAATTTAGGAAATGCATATATTTTTAAAAACTACATAAGAAGTATTATTAAGTGCAATAAATATTACAAGATGTTTATTCATTAGATACTACGAATAGGAAAACATAAAAATCAAAATGCTCAATCATCTTTAACCATAGATCCATCACCGATCGAGTGGTTTATTTTTCCATCAGGGTGCTCAAAAAAATGTGCCACATCCAAGTGAGTGATGTCAAATTCATTGTCATAGACAAAATTAGATTCAGGAGCTTTATCCTTTAGAGATGCTTGATAAAGCTCAACCAAATGTTTTGATATGCGATAAATATTTGCCCAATGCCCTTTTCCACCGCAACGATACCATTCAGTTTCTGAACCATTTGCCCTTGGCCCTTTCCACTTTTGGTGGTTATTTTTCTTTGGGGGGTGATTAACACCAGAAAAATTTCTTCCTTTGCCACGGCTACGCTTAGAATAATGGGAATACACCTCCTTCACTTCAGGCAATAGTGTAGAACCAGTGGGTCGATTTTCGTGATTTCTCATGAGCAAGTCATTGTTTCGTTCAGCCACAAGAAGAAGAGAAATCAACTCAGAATACTTCTTGAAACCTTTCTCTCGGTACTGCTGTTGCAAGACCATATTGGAGGCATGAAACGTTGTGAACGTTTTTTCAAGCATATCATAATCAGTGATAGTATCTCCACAGAGTTTCAATTTAGAAGTAATTCTGAACATCGCAGAATTATATTCAGAAACAGACTTAAAGTCTTGTAGCCTCAGATGAGCCCAATCATATCGTGCTTGTGGAAGAGTGACCAACTTTAAGTTGTCATATCTTTCCTTTAAGTCATTCCACAAAATAAGTGGATCTTTGACTGTGAGATTTTCTATCTTCAAGGTGATGGCGCAAGAAAATCAAGGCATTAGCACAATCTTGAGTAGATGCTTTATTTTTATCTTTAATGGCGTCTCCAAGACCCATTGCATCTAAATGGATTTCAGCATCCAACACCCATGTCATATAGTTCTTGCCCGAAATTTCAAGGGTAGCGAACTTTCTTTTCATAATATCAGTTATAATTAAAAGAGGAGAAAAGTTATACCTTAATTTTCTCAAAGAGCTTCTTGAGACGGTAGTCTCGTACTGATAACGTGTTATAAAATATAACTCAAAGTAACAATATGGAACAAGGAAAAACAAGCTAAGAGATATATGGAGAAAGAGAGAGAGATTCTTATTTCTTCTTCAATTGTGTATATTTTCCTATCTATTACAAGGCCTTTATATAGGCATGAAAAGTGAAAGAAAATATGTTATTGAATGTCATTAAACATAGAAAATATGTCATTGAATGTCATTAAGCAATTGAGATAAAGATCATTAAGGAAGAGTAGACATACACCATAATTTGATATTTCTTATAACATGAACCTATATGTGGAAAATATAATGATCATGTTCCATAAACAGCAGCCGCAATATACATTTTTCATCATCGCAAAATTTTGAACCCGCAGGGGCAAAAAAATATTCCTGTACAGTCAACTGTTCGGATAAACTGTTTGTATTCTTCACCATCTACGGCCGAAGTTTCCGCGACCTCTTCCACCTCTGCCTCCAGAAAAGCGACCACCGCCTCTCCTGTCAGAGAAGCCACCACGACCACCACCAAATCTTCCACCTCTTGCCTGGTCTTTCTCTTGCAACCGAGGGAGTTCTTTTACTACCTCTAAGTTTACACCTTGGGTATTCTTCCCTGCAAAGCCCCACCGGGGTAAGCAAAATCAATGAGATACAGTGAGAGAGATTAGACAAGCTGCAACAGTTTATCACTGATCATGGGTATAAGAAGCAAACTATGATGAAGGAAGGCTCTAGAATAGAATTTTGTCTGGATGATTCTCATCTATTTCAATAACGGAAATGAAGAAACATACCTGCTAGAAACATATCCAGGTCATCAGCAGATATATCAAAAACCGCGCCCTTCCCATCAGCTGTCAAAGTAAGACCTTTGATTGATTCAACCTTATCCTCAGGTAGGAACCTCCGCAAAACATTATATGCAAATCTGCCATATTGACAAAGTAGAAAAGATCAACAGAGCAGGCTCGGTCTGGCCATAGCAGCTCTCACTGAGCTTCATCATCATGGTATGACTTGTTAATCGGAGAAAGCAAGAAAAACATTTGTGAACATTGGCTTAAATACTCACGAAGGTGCAAATATGGGCCTCCCACACTCAAGAAGTAGAGTAACACAGTTCTCCATGGAAGAAAGAAGCGACCGAGTCTTGATCTCAGAGTAACCCTAGAAAGCAAGAGACCAGTCTAGTCAACCATAAGGCCCTTTGGTTCCAACACCAGACAAGTAATGAAGAGAAATACTTACAGCTGCCTTGGCAAGTGCCTTGGCAAGCAATTCTGCTGGTGATAGTTCAGAGGTGTGTAGAAGTTCCTCCGCGGCAGCCTTGAAAGCAGGTATTACACTACATATATTTGCAAATAAATGTTATGATAAAGCGATGGTACATTAAAAATCCATAAAAAGCACAAATGAAAAAACTTACCTATCAGAAATTTCAGCAACTGCTTCTGCTGCTTCTTTCCCAGCCGCTTTAGCAACATCAGCTGGCTGTGGAGCAGATAGATGCTCGAACTTCACACCAGATTCTCTTTCAATCCTAGAAATGTTGGACTTCTTAGGATCATAAAGCATTACAGCAACACCAGTATTTCCTGAATGGCATAACAAACAAATATAAGTAAGAATGTTCCTGAAGTTCAATGATCTAATGAAAGCAATTCCAACATCAGCAGTCACCTGCCCGTCCTGTCCTTCCAGATCGATGAATATATGCTTCGACATCGCGTGGAGGCTCACACTGACCATACATGTTAAATTCAGCATTCAAACACCAATAGGGTTTGAGCATCAAAGTCGAATATGAATTTAGTCATATCAAACCTGAATAATTAATTGAACGTCGTCAATATCCAATCCACGGGCTGCTACATTTGTGGCCACTAATGTCAGGAATTTTCCTGATCTGAATCCAGATAGTGTAACCTGTAACAGCATACAACAATCAGGGAAAGAGTTGTTAGTTGAGAATTGAAGGGATGTACCCCATACCATAAATATAAAATTTGTCGAAGGAGTCAAGGAAAGTGACAAACAGACAACTTATGCAAAGTCCTGTTTGGTTTTTATATTCTTATACATCAACAACAGATGGTGATTGCTTCTGGAGAAACTCTCATCCTCTTAAAGTGGAAAGTCATCAAAAGGAGAGCGAGAAGAATGGCAAAAGAGAGCACACCAGAATAAAGCTATTTTAAACAAAACTTTACCTCACGCTGGGACTGTTGAATCTCTCCATGCAAAGCATGTGCTCCCGGCAATAAGCCAGCTAGCTCCGAAGCATAACCCCTTGTTTCAGTGAAAATAATAGTGCGGCCACCACTGATATTTCATGGCAACAAAGAATGTTGGAGAATGAATTCATACGTTGATTGTCATTCTAAGAATTACAAAGGACAGATACTAAAAAAAGAGATACAACCAACCTGCTGTAGCAGCGAATAATATCAGGAATCAGCTGAGTTCTGGCTGAACTAGAGCATGGTATAATAATATGTCTCACATTCTTACTGGCCTTCATTTTCTCATCACCAACAAGATCAGCTGTTTTCTTATCAGGTTTGAGAAACTTAGAAGATATCTGCCACGAAAACAGATCACTATTCAAGAGAGGGGGAAAAAAGCAAGCTTAGGACACACAGGTTGTACATCTATTTTCCAATCCCCGGAAAAAGCAATTTGTTTAACTAAATAAACGAAGGGGCAAGAAATATTCCCAGGAGGAGAAAACACTGATTTGTACTTATAAAAAGGGAGAGATAATGAACTAACATGCTTCACCCAGCTTGGCAAAGTGGCACTGAAAAGAAGTGTTTGAACTTGGCTCGCATCTTCAACCTTGCCTTCAAAATTCAAAAGAGAAAAGGAGAAGAATAAACATAACAAAATCATTAACCATAAGATGGGAAATCCCTGGAAATGACATTTAATGCACACGCAAATTTCAGCTCCCAGAGAATATCACTCACGTAAGTGACAGCACCGAATAAAGGAGAGGGGAAAAGATCAGACAATAAGGGTAAGATACCGATGAATAGTATCATACCTAATATAAATTCCACATCATCAACAAAACCAATTTTCAGCATTTCATCAACTTCATCAAGAACACGGAACTTTAGAGACCTGAAATCAATATTTCCTCTTTCAATGTGGTCCTGCATCAAAATTTGTAAGGAGTGAATCTAAACTCTCTGAAGCATGAAAACATAAACCTACAGCAAATATTCCAGAGTCACCTAACATAAGACCAGTGAATACACTACCTTAACTCTTCCAGGAGTACCCACAACAATATCAACTCCTCTTTTCAACTGAACTTGTTGTTGTCCCATAGGAGAATTTCCATACAAACAACATGAAGTGAGCCCCACAGCCCGACCATAAACTTCAAAGTCAGCAAACACCTATAGTTAACATGAAGTGAGAAAACAAAACTCATAGGTTACGCATTCAATGAAGCAGTCAACTTGGGCAGGGCCTCTAAAATAATACCTGAAGTGCCAATTCCCTAGTAGGTAAAAGCACCAAAACACTAGGAGCTCTCCCATACCCTGTTTTCCGAGATGCTTTAGTAGGACCATTTGTCAGGGACTCCAATATGGGCAACACAAAGGCCAATGTTTTACCCTGCAAATGTGGGAGCACAAATTGAAGTAATAAATGCTTGTTAGTGACTACTTACGCAGCGAAATATTTACAAATATGTCTTGTAATACTGGCAAATTCGGTTCATTATTTTTCTTATGATAATATAACAAAAGTGGGCATTGTTCATTTATCATAATGGCCAAGTAATGAACAAAGTTCTTATCAACTCTCGTGTTCTCAGAAAACTCATTTTAGATATATAATTCACATCAAAAGAGCAACTTGTGTAGCTTGCAGTAAGCCTCTAACAAATGGAGCGACAAAATGTGGGACATGAAACCACAACACCAAAAAATCGAGCTATTTTTTAGTAGGTCAGGTATTCAGTGAACAGCACAGGAATGAGAATAACATAAAGAACTAAGGTTCCATCTCTCCCCCTTAAGAGCCAAATGCATGTGTAGATGGTTATAGATGACTTGCCTAATCTTAATTTCCAAGGAAAGCATGGACATAGGTTATTGCATTCGGGGTTAGAATTTCCAAACGCCACAAACTAAACAGCCCGTAGTCAAACCAGTAAACATCAAGAGACCTTCAAATTTTACATGACAAGTTGCTATGACAGCGAGATTTTTGAAATATCAGCATGCAACTTAAAATTATTAACTGAACACAAAAGAAGAATTGTTATTTCGAAGAGTATAATATACCTGACCAGTGCGAGCTCGACCAACTAAGTCATTCCCATCAAAGACAGCATCAAAAGTCATAGCTTGAATAGGAAAGAGCGCTTGAATCCCCTTAG